CTGGAGAAAGAGTGGGTCCCCCTCCTGCCCTCCGCGCGCCCCTCACCGTCCTGGGAGAAGAGCAGCAGGAAGCGCGCCGGGTTCTCGGGGTCCCTGCGCACCTCGCACTCCCCCCCGCCGCCGGACCGCTTGGGGCTCTGGAAGTACAACTGCAGCTTGGTGCTGAGGTTCTTGGGAGGGTCGGGGCCCCAGGACCCCTCGACCAGCAGCGGGAAGGAGCTGGGCGCAGCCATCCTGGGCGCTGCTGTCCCGACTGCTCGGCCGCCGCTTCGCCGGGAAGTTAACTTCGCTCTTTCGCTTTCGTTTCCCAGAACAACCCTCCCGGCCTGAGTTTCTGTCTTCCCGCGGAGCCGCCCCAGGATTGGAGACGCCCCCTCCCCAAGTCCACATCCTCTGCTCGGGCCACAGCAAGGACAGTGGACCTTGGCGCCCGCCACTCTGGCCTGGGGTCCCCTCCATCTGCGCACTGCGGGGTCCCGCTCACCTCACCCGCAGCCCTGAGTCACCAGACGGCAGCGGACACAGACAGAGACTGTTTCACGTCTGAAATGCCACACGCTGACATTTTACAGGGAAATAAAATGGCTAGCAAACCGAGATCCTCCTCTTGAGACGTTCCTTTCGAAACTACTTTCAACAGTCAATGTCCTTAGAATTTTACCTGGTCTTCCTTCTTTTAAATTTTGCTTCCTGATCTGTCAGTACATGTCAAGAAGCGTGGGAGAAACGACACACTCCCAGAAGTTGTGGAATGTTTACGAGGTGCCAGGTGGAAGGACACAGTCCTTGCTCTCGCAGAGCTCAGCAGCTGTGGGGACTCAGAGGTGATGGCTCTGAGAAGGAATATTCAGGTGTTCCAGAACAAATGAGCAGGACAGGCATCTGGCCCTGCGAAGGATCCCGGAATGGCTTTACAGGGTTGAGAAGGGGGTCCGGGTCGCTTTGGCTGCTGCTGGTGGCTGGAGTAGAGAAGGGGAAGCCAGCCAGGCAGCTACTGGAGTGCTCAGATATTGAAGGCAGGGCTTTCGGAGCCTGGAGAAAAGAAAAAGCTCAAAGATGACTCCTTGGTCTTCTATGGATGGCCTGAGCAGGTGGTTGAAAAGTGGTTTCATCTTCAATGCGCAGCCTGTGGGGTGGCTGGAGAGGTGGCAGAGAAGCTGAGAATGTGTGTCCTAGGCTGTGATAAAAGTGTGTTTCCAGTCAGAAGGAGCCCTCGGACTGCAATGTTTGTCCCCCTGGTTTCCTGGGGAGGGAGTCCTGGAGGGAGCTGGCGGCAGCATGAGGCCTGAAAGGAACAAAGGAAGAAAAGGCAGCAAGGGCAGCCAGCTCTCTCCAGAAGGGCGACTGGGGAGGAAGGAGCCAGGCAGGCAAAAGCTAGGTGGCTCTAAGATCAGGTGTTATTTTTTGCTTTCTGGGCTTTAACTGTTTGTTTGTTTTTAGTACCAGGGATTGAACTCGGGTCCTTGCGCTTGTAAGGCAGGCCACCGAACCGCTGAGCTAAACCCCCAGGCCCTCAATGATACATTTTGATCCTTATTTACACCTTTAGTTTTTCACACCAGAGAAACTATTTGGTATTACACATGTGTGTCTTATTTATTTCACTTAAGAGTATGGCCTCAATGTGCAACCACTTAGCGATAAATATCTCTTGTTCTTTATGGCTGAGTAGTACTCCATTTTATTAAGAAAAATTTTTTAAAAATCCACATCTTCTTTATCCAGTCTCCAGTTGATGGGCAATTAGGCTGTTTATAATTAACTATTACAAACTGTGCCACTATAAACATGGGTGTGCATATATCACTGTGGTATGATTCTTTTAAATCTTTTGTGAAGATACCCAGCAGAGGGATGGCTGGGTCAAATGGGATTTCTCATCCCAGTTCTTTGAGGAGTCTCCATATTGATTTCCACAGGGGCTGCACCAGTCTGCACTCCCACCAACAATGGAGAAGTGTTCCTTTCTCCCCACAGCCCCACCAGCATTTGTTATTGGTTGATTTCCTGATAGCAGCCATTCTTTGTGGGGTGAGGTGGAATCTCAGTGTTGTTTTCCTCTGCATCTCTCAGTGACCAGTGATGTGGAACATTTTTTCATATGTTTATTTGCTGTTTTTACTTCTTTGTCTGAGAAATGTCTGTTCATTTCAGATGCCCATTTTTTGGAATTGTTTGAAAATTGCTTGAATTTTTGAAATGTTTGGTGGGTCTGATTCTTTTTAGCTCTTTATATATTCTAGTTAGTAGACCTTTTCTGAGGAGCAGCTGGTTATTTTCACCCAATTCAAACCCTTCTTTCTCCCAGTGTGCTTACTCTCTCTCAGTTGTTTGCCTTCCATGGGCATCTGCTTTCTGAGCCCTTCTTCCTCCCTAAAGTATCACCTGAGGGCCTGGGAGCACGGACAGGGTGAGGGGTGAGCTTGCAACGCAGATTGGCTGTGTTCGTGTTGCTATGCCTTGGCTCTCCTACCTCACAGCCACAGCGAATGAGAGTATAACAGCCCACATCTGTGTTTGAGGTCAAACTTCCCTTGCCTATTTCATCTAAATTCCATCTTTCAGCTTCTCTATAAACTTCTATAGCCTAGCACCAAGCTCCTTTCAACTTGCCTACAAACTGGTGCCAGGCTCTCCCCTTCTCCAGGGGTAATGCAGGTTCACTGAAACCATGGTTAGCTGGTGATGGAGGGCATTAACATCTTCCCTGGCCATCCAGTTAACCACTGAGTCAGAACCACATGCATACATCTCAAGACAAGCATTAACTCTCAGCACACTCTGGATCATATTTAAAAGAATACCCAATATTTTAATAACAGCATTATGCACGATTTCCACCAGGGATGTTATTAATGGTTGAATAATCAGCTTTCTGGGGGTAAATGTTTAAGTAAGCTGAGTATGGTGGTTTTTAACTGTAATTCCAGCACTCTAGTAGTCTGAGACAGGAGGATTCAAGCCCAGCCTATGGGCAACTTAGTGACTTATTGAGACCTTATCTCAAAATTTCAAAAAAAATTTTTTTTTAAGAGATGAGGCTATAGCTCAGTGGAAAAGCCCCAGATTCAATTTTCAGTGCTGCAAAAAAAAAAAAAGTGTGTGTATAAGTTTTATAGATATAATGATTGCCTAGCAAATAATTTATAAGTAATAATAACATATATAATACTTTACTATAATTTTCAGTTACCCACTTGATTCTCAGAGTATGTTTCAAAGATTTGTCTGGAGCCTATCTATGGTTGCAGGTTGTGGGTAAATACAGTTCTGACATGAATGCTGGTTGACATTTCATTTACATTAACAGGTAAGGTGCAGATGAAACAATGAAGGCCTATGTCAGAACTCTTATTGGCTTAGCTCCCTCACTGAACTGGATATTAAATTTCAAGTACTGGGAAGATATTTCTTCAACTGCATTTTTTTCCAGTGTAATGATACAGGTATGATAGGTGTTTAAGCACTGTCAAAGGCACAAGTATATTCTATCACCTTCCCAAGCTCAGATAATAAACAAAACAACTGAGACCTGGTTTGCAGTGTTCCATGATTCCACGATGTAAACGCTCCTACTATGGCTGGTTCAATTCCTGGTGTGAGATCGCTGAGCAAAGAGTTGGGAAGAGATGAGCAGGCAGGCCATTCATTATACCACACACATGCGACAGTTGTACCACAGAGTTGAGCCAGGAGCAAAGTGTAATCAACTAGGAAGTGATGGGTTCTTAGCTTTATTACTTCTCAAAAACGCAGTCTAAGCCTGGTGTGATGTTACATATCTGCTGTCCCAGCACTGTAGGAGGGGTAGACAAAAGGATCAAAAGTTTGAGCGCCATGTGGGTGACTTGGTGACTTAATAAGAACTTGTCTCAAAAAAATAAAAAAATGAAAGCACCAAGGATGTAGTCAGTGCAAAGGCCCTGGGTTCAATCCCCAGTACCACTAAACAAACAAACAAACAAACAAATAAATCTATTTGGATGTAAGTTTGCACAATATAATCCTGAGGTTAACAACTGATTTATAAAATTTCTGAAAGTTTAGCAGTCAGCTCTAGCAAGCTAGTATAAACCAGCTCCAGAAAAAATTACACTCTTTCCCAGAAAAGTTATTAGATTAGCTAGAACAGTATCAGGCTACTCTACACCTCAAGACAGTTGTACTAACATTCTCCTGGTCCTGTAGATTGTAAAGTTGATTTCTCCCCTCTATCCCCATTGGCAATTAGTCACCCAGACAAACATTCACTAACCCATTCATTACTTTTGAGAAATCTGCTCTGGGAGAAATAATAAAAGCAGTGATGAAAATTATAAAACAAAGACAAATGTAAAAATTGAAATATAATTAATACTGATGTCATGATTAGAAATGAACAAACAACAATGACTACACAGAAATGGTGTTAGCTCCTAGCCCGCTTTCTTATTTTTATTTATTTATTTATTTTTTTGGTACCGGGGATCGAATTTGGGATCTTGCATTTGCGAGGCAGGTGGCAGAACCACTGAGCTAAATTCCCAGCCTGTATCTCCTAGCCCACTTTACCCTCCTTCACACCAGTGGTTACACCAAGATAAATCACAGAGTGTTACACCAAGATAGGAATCACAGATATTCTTTGGTTTTTTTTTGTTTGTTTGTTTGTTTGTTTGTTTGTTTGCTTTTTGAGACAGGGTCTCACTATGTAGTTCAGACTGACCTGGAACTCACTATGTAGCCCAAGCTGGTCTCGAACTCACAGCGATCCTCCTGCCTCAGCTTCCCGAGTGCAGGTGTGTGCCACCATGTCTGGCATGGAATCACAGATATTCTTTATACAAACTTCCAAGTCCTAGATCTATCAAAGCGGAGGCAGGAAAGTTTTATTGAATTATGGAGGGCAGGAAATATAACTAAATTATCAATGTGGGAACCAAATGTAAAGAAAACAGGCAACAAAAACTAATAGAATTCAATCTGAAATCAAAAGAATTTTTTGAGTTCTGGGGTCAATTTCCACGCCTGTAATCCCAGCACTTGGAAAGCTGAGACAGGAGGATCGCTGTGAGTTCGAGACCAGCCTGGGCCCCATAGTGAGTTCCAGATCAATCTCAACTACATAGTGATACCTGTCTCAAAAAACAAACAAACAAATAAATTAAAGTTAAAAGAAAAAAGGAGAGAAAGCTGCAGACAACAAAAGTCAAGCCAAGAAGTTATGGTAAACTGGGACACATTTGTCAGGAAAAAGGAATTCCATCAGTATTTTTTATA